GAGGTGTTCTGGGCACGTCCCACTGGGAGGAGGTCCAGAGGAAGACCCAGGACACGCTGGAGGGACTACATTTCTCAGCTGGCCTGGGAACGCCTTGGGATGAGCTGGCCCAAGTGGCTGGAGGAAGTCTTGGTCTCTCTGCTTAGGCTGCTTCCCCCCACGACCAGACCCCGGATAAGCAGAAGAAAAGGAACGGACGGACAGACGGAGTCTGGTTTTCTGTGTACTGTTTGTGTTAACTCCTGGTCATGTTAGTTTTATGGCCATGTTGGCATTTGTTTTGTTAGAAATAAAGTTTTTCTTCTTAAGTTCTCCAAACTGGTTCTGCATTCCTGGATTTATATCCTCCATGACCTCACCACTCCAGCTGTTTCAGGGTTCCTTCACCAGATGTTTCAGCTCCTTCCACAGATGTTCAACAGAATACAGATCAGGATTCTGAGGGACACTTCAAAATACTCCACAATTTTGTTTATAGTCCTTGTTTGGTTTTAACAAGTGGCCAGCATACTAAAATTGATCAGTCAAGTCTAATCTGAACAGAATTTCTCTTCAAAGCTGGAAGTGATGGATCTTATTTAACTTGTGGATGTATGTTGTTTCTGGTTCCTCCAGTTGCTCTCTTCACGTCCATTCTGATTTGTTTTTCTCTTCCTGTTGTCTGTGTCTAACAGCAGCTCCTGGCTATGGTGCAGCAGAAAGCCATGGTGGGAGTAATTGACTCCACATTAAAGTTTGCTCTGAGTGCTTTGTGGAACCTGACGGACGAGATGCCCACAGCGGCTCGTAACTTCATCGAGTGTCAGGGGTTGGAACTCTACGAGGAGGTTCTGGAGGTCAGTGAGCAAAAAACAAAAACACTGACTGAAATGTGTTCCAGCGAACAGTTTTCCTTTTACAATCTCTTGTTATATATACTTTGACTTGCAGTCATACTACAGTGAACCCTCTATTCAGCAGAAAGTTCTCGGACTTTTGGTGAGTACAATAAGATTTGTTGTAACAGTTAAAAAAAGGTAAAAACATCCTCTTTCAGCTTGAATTTTTTTGCATCAGCATTTACTATTGAAACATTTGGTCTTTACTGGTTTTGAAATTATGAAAGTACATGAAATGAACAAAAAAATTACATGTTAGACTAAGTTGTTTTATTATTAGGAAATCTAACCAAAATGTCAAATAAATTTGGAAAAACTAAGTCGACTCCGCTTCAACAAGACATTAGATCAAATGCTTTTGATAAACTGAATATTCAATACACAACAGAAAGGTTTTACCTTCAAAAGACTTGACAGGTGTGATTTAGTGTGATAAATATTAAAGTTTAAGACAAAATATTAACAGAAACAAATAAGAAATACACTCCCTGGCCAAAAAAAAAAAGTTGCCACCTGGATTTAACTAAGCAAATAGGTATGAGCCTCCTATTGGATAATTACTGCATCAGTGATTATCTTTCAGCCGGCAACAAGTTATTTAACCCCGACTGGTGCAATGAGTTGCTTCTCATTTCTTAAACAACCATGTAGAATGACACATCCTGTGGTCATGGAGAAGATGTCAGTCTGTTTGAAAAGGATCATTGGTTAACTGGAAAAAAAAGGTTTGTTTGTTAGGGAGCGTAAAGATTGGGCTCTGGAGCAATGGAAGAAGGTCATGTGGTCTGATGAGTCCAGACTGACCCTGTTCCAGAGTGATGGGTGCATCAGGGTAAGAAGAGAGGCAGGTGAAGTGATGCTGTACAGCCTGTGGAGGCAGTGCTGCTGCAGGTGGTCAGGTCCAGGTTCAGCAACAGTTTGTGCTCAAAGAATGAGGTCAGCTGACCTGAATATACCGAATGACCAGGTTATTCCATCAATGAATTGTTTCTTCCCTGATGACACGGCCATGTTCCAAGATGACAATGCCAGGATTCATGAGGCTCTTATTGTGAAAGAGTGGTTCAGGGAGCATGAGACATCATTTTCACACATGGTTTGGCTCCACAGAGTCCACTGAGAATCTTTGGGATGTGCTGGAGAAGGTCAGACTCTACCATCATGAATGTAAGATCCTGGTGAAAAATTAAATCAACACTGAATGAATTAAATCTTGTGACATTGTAGAAGCTTATCCAAACAATGTCACACTGAATGTCTGCCGTAATAAAAGCTAAAAGTGGTCCAAGCAAATATTAGTGTGACGTTTTTTTTTGGCAAGGCAGTGTAATTTGGAAAGGTTGGTGTCCTCTCCTGAAAGAATACATCACAGCTCAGCTGTTTTATTTCTAACAGAGATGTTTGGAGCCGTGCGTTTTGAACAGAGCATTGATTTTAATGATGTGAAATAAGACATTTTAAATTCATCTTTGTTTTCATGTAGAACAACATTGCAGAAGTGGAAGAGTTGCAGGCTGATCTGATGGATGAAGACCTGCTCGAGCACATCCTCAGCCTCCTGAAGAACTCTCAGGTGGAGGTCCGATACTTTGCAGGGGGGATTCTGGCCCAGCTGGCCTCCAGGACAGAGGCCTGGACCCTGGATGAGGAGCTGCGCACCACCATCCTGAAGCAGTTGGTGTGTTCTGGGTGTCTTAGAACAGACAGAGCCCTCTGTGTGCTCCTTTAAAAGGTTTTGTTTGTTTGTTTGTTTGTTTGTTTGTTTCCTCTGCAGCATGAGTCAGTAATAACGTGGGCTCATCCTGAGAGGGAAATGGTGTCATACAGGTGAGGACAAAATGCACTTTACAGATCAGAGTGTTCAGTTTGATTAATCTTATTATTATTACACAGTTGTTCATTAGTGCAACTCTAATCTATTATTTTATTCTTTATAAGCTATCACAGATCAACCAGTTTCTAACTGAATGCTTTTATTTTTGGTTGAAATATGATTTCTGTGCCTGAAATGCCCCCAGGGCCAGGCTGCACTGATATGCTACAGACAGCTGTTGATGCTGACTGTGCTTGCAAATAACTATACAAATCTATGTAAATAACCTTTTACTGTAAAATTAACATTAATGTAAATGTTTATAAAGAAGCTATTTTTACTCACCATGCAGTTTTTCAGACTGGATGTTGTTTTAGGGCAAAATCTTTACAATTTGAACCATGAGATCATCAGTTTTGTCAGAAATAAACATTTTTCTACTGTGTCTATAACAGGTAAGATAATAACTGTTCAAAGTGTTTTCAGATGATCTGATGAGTACTGTAGTGCCATGAAATGGTCTGTTTAAAACGTTTCAGAACAGTTCAGTAAGAAAATCAGATTATCTTTTGTTCCGTGCACTTTAACGATTCAGCAGAAAGTGTCTGGTGCACACAGAACGATCCTGAACCACAACTTTCCCCCCCTCTTCTTTATGAATCTGAGTTTTACGATGCCTTCGCTGCAGGTCATTCCATCCATTTGTCCCTCTGCTTCAGCCGTGCCAGCCCTCAGGGGTGCAGCTGTGGGCGGTGTGGGCCGTACATCTGGTCTGCAGTCAGAACAGTAAGACACACAAACAGAGGAGACCCTGGGGAAGTTAGGCTCTAAAGAGCCACATGTGACTCTACGCCCGTCACAGAAGTTAGTTTTACATAAAACAGAGAAGACTCTGAGCTTGCTTCATTTACATATGCCAGTTAAATATTTTGTTTGTTGTTTTAGTTAATGATTTTATATGAAGAATTGGATTTGTTATCGTTTGTGTCATCATTATTTACTCCTTTGTCTTCCAGCTACACATTACAGCTGGATGCTGGAGGAGGAGGGCCTGACTGAACTTCTGAGAGCTTTGTCTGCACATCCTGACACACACAGAGACATTAAAACCCTATCAGATCAAATCTTATCCATGGCAGAGAAACAGCAGAGTGACTCAGGGGAGGTCAGAGACCTCACACCGTCTGAGAAGGCCTGACTGAAGTATTTGAAAATGTTTTATTTGATCTTTATAAAAACAAATAATTAGCATGATGTCACAAACTGAGTTACATGATTTAAAATTGCACTGTTTTGTTTTATACAACTAGAGTCAGCAATAAATACGTTTTGAAACCAGGCTTGCACTTTATAGCAGTGGTTCCCAAACTTTTTGTCTTCTGACCCACAAAATATCCATGGCAAAAACTTGTGACCCCAAATATTACTGGTCTGAGTACACAAACTTTGTTAATAACCCTAAAAACACAGGATTTTTGACAATCTAAACAGCTTGTACACAAATATAAATACTTATTTATACTCATTTTGTGTTTTTGTAATAATTATAGGAAAATATTACATCAGCAATTATTTTATTACCCTTTAAATTGATTTCTGCAGATTATCCAAGGTGCTTCATGACCCATAATTGGGTCCCAAGCCCAACTTTGGGAACCAAAGTGCACTGG